AGACTTATGCTACTGTTTCGATGAAGGCATGTTGCCGAAATATCAACGCATCTATATCTCCATTCTCCTGTTTTTTTTTATCCGAGGAATAAGGCTATTTATGCTGGTTTATCTGCAAACTGGTAACTGTTTTACATAGCTATTATATTGAATTTGTTTTTATAGCTATTATATAGCTAGCATATTTATATAAATATTTACATGTTTTAACTTTGTTTTATATAGCAACCACGGGTGAAAAAGTATATCGAGGGTGCCGGTACCCTTGTCAATTTCCCTCAGAGAATGCAGAATGCCCGGATTCCCCCACTAAAACGAGCTCCTCCCACCAACCTTGCTAAATCATCGCGTACTATCGTCCTACTCGTAAAAGGAACATACTGGGTGATGGTTCAGTAAAAGGAATAAATAGGTGATGCTTTTACGGATTGTTTCGCCCTGAGCGCAGGAAACATGCCTTGAAGCAGTGTGCACTTTGGGACCAGCATGCCGACTGGGGTCGTTCCATATTTCAAATAAGGGCGGTGGTGATTGCTAGTTATTATGTTAAAATACACTAAGCCGCCAAGAAAAGTAATCTTCGCCGGAATTGGATTTCCAGGCTAGCAATGTCTCTTTCATCCGCACCTGCTGTGCTGTTACTGTAGCATAGTTTGCACGCGCTCTTTCGGCTGAAAGTACCAGCTGCGAACTGTTGTGTGCAAAATAGCGTTCATATCATGCTGCCATCACACGTCTGCTTCTCTGTGGAAACTTCCTGGTTATCTGTCACGAGGCCGTTGAAGGGATCTAATCCCTCGAATATTCAACTGGTAGGACCCACGGCGCCGTTTCAAGAACTAGATAGAATATTTTCACGTGGCTGTCAACTATGAATGTATTGGGTAACAACTGTCCTTCAATTTACTAGGCAGTGCGGGTTAGAAAAAGACATCAAGTAATGGACGGCATATGTCATGGAAATGCTGCGTCTTTGCATGGTCCTCTTTGCAATATGCCAAAGGGTGAAAAACCGAAAACTACACATGTCCTCTGGGGGAAATGAGAAATTGCAGAAATTATGCGGCCTGTTGGGATGGCTGGATCCGTCAGCTTCCCGAACGGCATCGCCACGCCTCAGCTTTAGTGGCGCGTGGATTTTTTCCCGCAACAGTTAATTGCATCGCATGCATCGCATATATTGCTAATTTCGAGAGTTTGCCTTCATGACTGAACGTAATGACGAGATCAAATCACGCATCCTGCACACTAGATGGCTGGAATGGTCGTCTGATCGCTATGAGACACTGGATCCGTTCGTAATTGGCTTTAGAAAGGTCGTGGGGCAGGTCACAAGCATTTCTTGGATGGGAGTGCGCGCCAGCATCAGAGATGGCCTGCAGCGTTGAAGCAACGGACGAAAGGCGCACGAAGACTGCTAAACACATAACAACCGCCACGGTAGCGCGATCCGTCTTAATCGCATTTGCATCCACATTTTGGGCTCGGGCGGGTAGCTCAATAGCCAAGCGATCGCAGGCTATCTTCGGCCGTCCCCACCTACCAGGCAGGCTCTCTCTGGGCCCTCCCCACCTAACAGGACAGACCACTTAACGTGACAGGGCGCCGCCCCGCTTCCGGAGTGCTTGTTACGTCCGCTCATCGACCGGTCAGCTGGCCGTGGCTGGTCGAGGCCGGAACAAAGCCGGCTTTGTGTGCCGTCGAGTCGGTCATCCAGCGGCGGTGTGTCCTTTCAGGGAGGGAAATGACGCAGGCCCCCGGCAGCCATGACCCGACATTCATATCGCCACGTCAGTGACGACGCCTGGCTTTGGAACCCCCGGATTCACAGCCACACTGAACTCATTTCACATTGTTTATGGAACGGGCTCGGAGACTGCCATTGCCGGCGTCGTGAGAGTGAGAGGCCGCAGCAGCCTGCTGATGCTGAGCGTCAGGCGGGCATGATCCCGGCCGTCAGCTGTGACGCCACAACCAGCACGAGCTGGTCCCTCGGCTACACTTACATGGGAGAGAAGGGCGCCAGCGCATATTCGCACCGTAAACCATACGGCTATAAACCATATGGCTAAAAACTAAGCGCCATCCGTCCTTAGCTCGATGCCTGACGTGTCATCCTCAAAATAGTGGGCGGTAAGGACAGGCATATGATGAGGGCCACCTCAACCATGCGTTGGAAATAACTGGACGATAATCACAGCGAGCGGGATGCTGGCTGCCACTCTTCATGGCGAGTGGGATGCTGGCTGCCACTGTTCACGGCGAGCAGGGTGCTAGCTGCCACTGTTCATGGCAGGTGGGGTGCTGGCTGCCACTGTTCATGGCGATCGGGATGCTGGCTGCCACTGTTCATGGCGAGTGAAATGCTCGCTGCCACTGTTCACGGCGAGCGGGTTGCGCGCTGCCACTGTTCTCATGGGGCATGATTCGCATGTTACGTCGTAACAAACCTGACCTAAAAAGCCTCACAAACTGCTGAGTTACAGGCCGTTCTGTGTTAAGTTTGATCGAGAGTTCCGATTCCGGCAGACGCCGAGCTGGTCCTCGCGCGCTGAACTCCGACTTGGCGCGGCTTGGAGTGGCGCAGGGGGACGGCGTATGTTCCCCCGGCGGCCGCCGAGCTGGTCCTCGCGCGCTGAACTCCGACTTGGCGTGGCTTGGAGTGGCGCAGGGGGACGGCGTATGTTCCGCTTCCCGGCGGCCGCCGAACTGGTCCTCTCGCTCTGAACTCCGTCTTTAGAATGGCGTAGGGGGACGGCCTATGTTCAGATTTATGAAAAATGCCACGCCTTTTGCTTGCTGAAATGCTTCTTTTCTCAATAAATGTCTCACTTAGACATTTGAAAGACCTGTTAACAATTGTTACCGTGTTATTGTTTTTTTCCGTCCAACCCATGCTGGGTGGGAAATTTAAAATCCAGTCCAACCTAAGATATGTTTTGATACGAATACCTGGCCTAATCCAACCCGATCTGTGTATACGTTCGCAACCAACTCGTGCATTCGACCCGTGCTGATCTGCTTGACAGTGATGTTGCCCCCGGAAGGCCCGCGTCCATCCACCGGGCGTCAACTCGCTAATGGGTGAGCCCACATCGCATGATAAGTGGCATGAGCACAGCTGTGAAATCTCGCCATGTGGTTTGTACACTCCATACAGCTGGTGGTGGCGAGGGTCGCTGACACTGGTGGTTCATGCTGTCCACGACGTATGCTGTCGTGCAGGGGTCAGGCCGCAGCTGGCTTCACTGGTTGCTAGCTTGGCGGACAACCGGTGTTGTCTGGGCCGATTTCAGGGCATCGCAGGCAAACTATCGTGACCATGATGTCTATAAAGAAAACGGTGTGATGCTATGGAGATGGTAGCAAACAAATCGGCGCCGGGTCTTATCCCAGCTTAGCCAGACACCTTCGAACGTGCCCAGACATGGTGCATCTCTCCGATATTCTCGCATGACATGCAATAGATGGCGCTGACACGTGGCATGACAGACGGCAGGCATGCAGCCGCGCATGGCGGCTTTTGCGCACAGGGGCATCTGGCAAGTGCTGAATTGTTCCATTATTATATATCGGGTGTTTCAGGAAGCTCTCTAAATGACCTTCAGTTCTGAACCTTGAAATAAACAATGTGAGAGCATCACCCAGTTAGTCCAAATACCTAGTTTGTTTAATCTGTAAACGGAATAATGTCACGGACTTTTGGTTCAACATCTTGTATCTTTCCGCAGGACAAAATGTGACGTTTTCATGCATGCATGTTATCGGAAATCATGCATAATTAATACAACTGTGATTGCACAAGATACATATCAAAACATGTTGCCTATATTATATCATATAAGAACTTAACAGCGACCTAACATAGAACATTTAGAACATTTTTTCTTCAAGAGACAGATGTGAATTAGTAATTGAACCCCACGCGGTTTACGTAAATTGCCAAAGTCGGCTGCGGTTACCGTCCTCTGTTGCTGTTGCTCGCTAGTGTTGCCCAGCCCAGCTGGGCGTCGACTGCCGTTCGGCACGGCGCGGTCTTGTGCTCGGCCGTCGCGGCCTATCCGGACGGGCATCAGTCGCTGTCCCGCCCACCCTGCAGCCTGACGAGCGCTCAGCGTCGGCCCCATGGCGGGCCGGATCTCAGACAAGCGCTAACCCACCGTGCCAGCAATCTGTCAGGGGCACCGGCTCCGGCCACGGGCCCGTACCGGACAGGACCGGCTCCGGCCACGGGCCGGCACCGGACAGGACCGGCTCCGGCCACGGGCCCGTACCGGACAGGACCGGCTCCGGCCACGGGCCCGTACCGGACAGGACCGTCTCCGGCCACGGGCCCGTACCGGACAGGATCGGCTCCGGCCACGGGCCCGTACCGGACGGGATCGGCTCCGGCCACGGGCCCGTACCGGACAGGACCGGCTCCGGCCACGGGCCCGTACCGGACAGGACCGGCTCCGGCCACGGGCCCGTACCGGACAGGACCGGCTCCGGCCACGGGCCGGCACCGGACAGGACCGGCTCCGGTCACGGGCCCGTACCGGACAGGACCGGCTCCGGCCACGGGCCCGTACCAGACGGGATCGGCTCCGGCCACGGGCCCGTACCAGACGGGATCGGCTCCGGCCACGGGCCCGTACCGGACGGGATCAGCTCCGGTAACGGGCCCGTACCGGACAGGACCGGCTCCGGCCACGGGCCGGCACCGGACAGGACCGGCTCCGGCCACGGGCCCGTACCGGACAGGACCGGCTCCGGCCACGGGCCCGTACCGGACGGGACCGGCTCCGGCCACGGGCCCGTACCGGACAGGACCGGCTCCGCCAACGGGCCCGTACCGGACAGGACCGGCTCCGGCCACGGGCCCGTACCGGAGGACCGGCCTCCGGCCGCGGGCCCGTACCGGACGGGATCGGCTCCGGCCACGGGCCCGTACCGGACAGGACCCGGCTCCGGCCACGGGCCGGCACCGAACGGGATCGGCTCCGGCCACGAGCCGGCACCGGACAGGACCTGCTCCGGCCACGAGGCGACGCCGGGCAGAACCTGCTCCGACCCCGAGCCGACGCCGGGCAGAACCTGCTCCAACCCCGAGCCGATGCCGGGCAGAACCTGCTCCGACCCCGAGCCGATGCCGGGCAGAACCCGCTCCGACCCCGAGCCGATGCCGGGCAGAACCTGCTCCGACCCCGAGCCGACACTAGACACACCGACAACGAAGAACAACTCAAAACGGCAGGGGACGGTGGATGCGAAAGCTGGAAAGAGGTAAGGGGTGGGGAAGGGGACGCCCGCTCTCAGTCTCTGGAAATTTAACGTAAACCTTATGATACTCAACGGAAAAAAACACTGGCCGAATCTCTGATTGAGAATTCCGATCAGATTCTCGCCGAAATTCAGATACCGCGCCGTCATTGCACGATAGCCTGTGTCCCCCCCCCCCCCACACACACCTCCTACTGCCCGCTCGCCGAATCTCAGATTCGCCGTCATCCGCCGTCATTACGCGATAGCCAACTCCGACTTTGATTTGTCATGCTTCTTGACCCACAACGTTGTCACGGGCCCCGATTTTATCTCTCGCTGCGACTGCAGGACTCTGAATTTCACCCCTTCACACTTCGTGCAACGTTGCAAATGACCTCGCATCGTCACGCCTCCCTCCACTGCGGGTACGGCACATGGCCGTGGCATGATCACGGTCCAATAGTACAGGTCGTGGTCCAACAAGGCACGGTCAAGACTCGAGCTCATAGCGATTCACTGGTCATCTATTTGAGTTAGGAATCAGGTCATTTAGAGAATGAGGCAATCAGCCTGAGCCGACAAGCAAGTACATGGGCCGAGTTAGCGGCCTGCGGTGAGCGGCGCTCAGCCTCACCCCGCCGTGGGCAGCTCTGCCCGACACTGCACCAGGCCACAGATGTGGAGCGGACGAAACCGAAGCCACAGAGCCGGCGCTCATTGCGGCTGGCTTTATCTGACCGCCGGCGTTGTCGCCTCAGGAGGGCGGCGAACGTGCGCCGCCGTCGATGCGCCTCGCGCGAGCGCCGCGAGGAGGGGATACGGGCCGGTGCGTCCTGCAGACCAGACCGACCCCCCCCCCCCCTCCCCGGGGCAGGCTGTGGGTCAGGCTCGAGCGCGGCCCGATGCTGAGCCTATGGTCCCGATGCCAGCTCTCTGTGGCGCTGTAAACTGGCATTCATGGAGTTTACATATATCTAGGGGATTGTCTTAGAGGAAGCCAATGCGGGGTGGCGGTGGTGTAGTGGTTAACACGTCTGCGTTAATCACTGCGCGTCTGGGAAACCAGCAGCACAGGGTTCGATTTCCCGCGGTGCCTGCCCTTCCTGCCAGAGTGAGAATGAGAGGCAAGCGATGCCATATAACCTCAGCAGCTGGGCGCGTCGTAAAGCCCCGATGACACACACAGAGAGCAAGCCAATTCGCTGTTTAGGCCCAGTGGGCGTCACATCACCGGTGACCGACACCAGGTCTGTCATCGATCATCTGGGGTTGAAAAATATGGCTATATCAAGAAGATTGTTCGCAACAAGAAGCTCGCTGCATGCTAGGCTGGTTAAATCAAGGACACTCGAGCACGACATCCCGAAACGGCTTAGTCACATCCTTTCGCTGAGGGACTGAGGGAAGCTGATGAGGGATGGGGGGCACACCATAAGGACTCCGATCCACCGGTGCTAGATGACCATGATGCAACCACTGCGCCCAAAATACAAAATAATTCAGCAAGAGATGCAGGCCATATTCTGGCCCTCTCTCAGCACACCAACCATTCTTGAACCGCTACAAATGCTCGTAGGGATTGCTGATTCGTAAAACAAGAGATGAGCTCTTGCCAGTGGCAAATAAGCCGGAGGCCACCACTTTATTGACCAACTCCGTCTTATTGCCCGGCTCGACCAGCGTGCAAACAAGGAGAGCCAACATGAGTCTGGAACAAACAGACGTGCAGCTTTATTGCACGTGCCGGAACGAGATAAAAAACAAGGCCGTTTGTAGCTGTGTAGCGACGCTGGATATGCTATTGCCGGGACGTTTATCGACCACCCAAGTGCTACGGGAGACACAAACCGGAGACCGGTGACAGGTGGTGAGAGGTGGTTGCTGCCGTGCTACACCTGCTGGTGTTCCACGGTGTCCTCCAGGGGTCCTCGGCCGGCCTCATCTTCTTCGACATCTTCACAAGCGGCCGAAGGTCCTAACTCCTCTCGGACGTCTAGCATCCCATGCTGATGACACCTAAGTGCTAGAAAACGCTCGTCCTGGCAACCAACGATCTTGCAGACCAAAAAGGGGAGACGCTTCTCAATGCCTTATCCTATTTCACATCCAACGCTTTGTAAGCAAACCCATCCACGACCAGCCTGCTCTTGTCGACGCGGCCCAAAACCTCAAGACAGGCATAGCCTTCCATCATAGATCTGATCTAACGACGACGAAGTTAAGGCGATCAGCTGACGGATGAGCGCCCGGTCTCGCTGCTGCCGTGACCTTCGATGGCCGGTCTCGCTAAAACCGTGAGCTTCGACCGCCGGTCTCGCTAAAGCCGTGACCTTCGACCGCAGGTCTCGCTAAAGCCGTGACGTTCGAGGCCGGTCTCGCTAAAGCCGTGGCCCTTGACGGCCGGTCTCGCTAAAGCCGTGACCTTCGACGGCCGGTATCGCTAAAGCCGTGACCTTCGATGCGACCTGGGGGACGACGGTTGATCAGAAGTCACAAACGGCTTAAGCAGGGTTGCCTTGATTGCATTCCCTCGGTAAACGACTGTTTGATGACTTGTTTGGTGACGTGCGTTGAGGGTCAGCGGCGGATCTCGCCGGATGCAGTGGAAACTGGGTCCAAATGAGCTCAGATCGCGCCGGAAGTAAATAACTGCAGAACAAGAATACTCCTTTCGCGATCTTGGGGTGAAAGGGTAGCAAGGGACGATAAACACCGTTTGATTTGTGCGAGCAATGGGACCCGTAGCATCGCAATGAGGATGAAGCTAGGCTGTCAAGTCTTAGTCTAGCTGGTCAAGTCTGCCCTCATCAACGGCGCCACTGACGAGGGCAGACTTGAAACCTGAACTGCAGATGATTACCTCAGCCCGGAAGAGGTTAGTCTACTGCCGAGTAAAACACGGCACGCGTGCGGCACTGCCCCAATAATATATAATGGCATGGCTGAAGCGTGCAGCGAGGTCATCGGTCAGTATATTCGAATCGATCCATCGCGACCCTAATGTTGTATTCTCGGCTTCTGACAACTTGCAGACATTTCCATTAACTGCGGTAAATTTATGGTGTCGCAAGTCGGCGGACTGGGCTAAACATTTACATTGTTAATGTTAACAAACGCTACCAATATGTCCCGGCACCAAACAAATGAATGGGCAGGAGGGGGAGGGGGTTACGTTTTGTCCCATGATTGCAAATGATGCCAAGCTCCATTCGCCATTTGCGCGGAGCATTTGCCAGCACCTTATTATAAAAACCGAACCTCTTTTCAGGCGTCTTTTTCAAACTGTGGAGCATTGAATCCGGTTGTTAGAATCTACTTTAGGTGGCATGTGAGACTGGCTTTAGCTCTGGTTTTGGCTCTGATTTTGAACCAGCGTCATCCACTCAGGCTGATCTTCATCCACTCTGGCATAAGGTCGACAACCATCGCGTCATCGCGTGTCCTGCGCCTGTCGAATTTAGCAGGAGGGGGGTGCGACAGCTAGTTCGAAACAGCGGTGAGAGACGCAGTTCGACCCAATGTAGCTGACTGAAACCCTGATGGCGGCAGACACCGACACTCCTGTGGTGACGTCAGGCCCGGACCGTCTGTCATCCGACATCTGGGGCCCTCTGCCCCCGCC